CCATAGAGGTAGCCTGGAGAGTAGCTTCCAACAATCCGGGTAAGTTTTATAGATCCAACTGCAGAGTTTGCTGTGTCGATCAATTTATTAGCTCTCCTCTGAAGCTGTTCTGTTGGATCTCTTGCGACACGACAGAATTTGGACTCGTCCGATATAATTGCATTGATTTTTGAGATATAATCCGTTTTATCCATAATTACGAAAATATTACTTTTATCAGCTTTTCGTATAACGATTTGGTCGTTGTCTCGGAGTTGTTTAGCTGCTTGCCGTAGAGCAGGAGTTAAGACAGCTGATGTCGATGAACCTCGTTTTTTGGTAGCTTCAGCTCGCAATAGATCTTTCAAGTTTGGGCTTATATCAATTCTTTTATCTTCCTTAAAAACCCGGAACTTAAACTTACCCGGATTGTTGGAAGCTACTCTCCAGGCTACCTCTACCTGGTCATCCAAAAACGAACAAGAAGATTGTTAATAAAAAGCATGCTCTGGTCTTCAATCAAACTTGCATATATATATATATATATTTTACCCAATGACCTGCGTAAACTTGTGAAAAAAAGTAAAGAGAACCTAACCTGGCTGGACCTAACCTTAGTAGAAAGGTGTCAAGTAACGTAAAGAAGGGTTTTATACACACCTAACCCTAACTCTAACCCTAACCTAACGAGGTTGGTGTTTTTTAGAATGTCCGGTAGTGTAGTTCATTTATATTCGCGTCCGGTTTTCGAGTACAAACTAATTGCAGAGTACACAACCTGGCTCGATTTTGTCCGGATTTCTAACCAGTGTCCGGTAATGTTACCAATCCTGTCCGACTATTGTTCGGTCGTTCATATATATAACCATTTTACGATGACACGTACTTCGCCTCAAGCCTTCGACAACTTCAATGAATTGTACTAAGAGTTTATTATTTTCCCTCATTTTTAGGCCCTACAAAATGGCCAATTCTCGGGTACGGACTCTTCATCGAGAAAGGAAAGCCCCACCGCACGTGGGAGTTCCTGCAACGAAAATATGGTTCCGTAGTAGGCATTTTCGTCGGCAGCGACCCGCTGGTGATTGTCAACGGATGGGAGGCTGGCAACGAGGCTCTGGCAAACCCTGACCTCTTGGGACGACCAGAACTATTTTCTAATGAAGATTTATACGGCAAACACCTTGGTATACATTAATATTAAGGATCAGTGGACATTTTTATACTGAACTAAGGGAGTTTAGTTTCTTAAAAGTATCTGAAAGATCCATACACTCTGGATTCTTTTATTATGAGGATGTTCGGACATAAGGAAGAGTAGAATTAACAATATAAACAACACCAAGATGATAATATCTCGGGGACGTGATTTGAAATGAGCACAAAAATTTCATTCATATATTGAATATTTTCCTTCGCAGTCTGACATGAGCAAATAATTGCGAGTAATATAAGTATTAAAATTTGTTTTTCTTTCGTGGCTCAAATTTAATTCACGATCAGGCAATGATGGACTGAAAAAAAATTACGAATCGATCAATTTACGCGGATTCCTGCACAACTGGCCACTATCATTCATAGAATAACGGTTGATAGCTCATTGAACCAGTTGTCATTATTTGTTGGTCATACTAAAAATTTTGATGGCGCCAGGTATCATGTTCTCAAATGGAGAATTTTGGAAGACTCAACGCCGTTTCACATTACATCATTTGCGTAACCTGGGAGTTGGGAAAAGTGTTCATCACGACATCATACTGGAGGAAGTGCGCGAGCTCATCCAACATTTGAACAAGAAAAATGGACCCTTCGAAATCCAGGTTAAAACATATCACATTGAAATTAACCCAAGCACCCTTATTCTAAACCGTCGGTTTTTAAAAATACTATTCACGAGAGGGAGGAAATGATTTAATAAAACCTTTCTATAAAAAAATCGCTATCAAGAATCCGACGTTCGATTCATTTAAATTTAAAAATACCTTAAACCTCTATTTATTAAGAAATTAAGTGTTCTATTTAGAGACGTTCTTAAGAGATGAAGTTCTATTTATTACGAAGTTAAGAAGTATTTAAATTTCTCCCAAACTGTGCTTTGTTTTGAGTATGAACTGATCGTCCGTATCTAAGCATAATGAGTTAAAAGGAGCAGCACAAATAACATATAATGATTGATGGTTAGCCTGAGCTGGCACTTTATTTTGAGCATGAACTGATCGACCCTATATAAGCATAATGAATTGCAAGGAACAACACAAATAATATATAGTGATTGATGTTTAGCCTGAGCTGGCACTTTGTTTTGAGCATGAACTGATCGACCCTATATAAGCATAATGAATTGCAAGAAACAACACAAATAATATATAATGATTGATGGTCAGCCTGAGCTGGCACTTTGTTTTGCGCTTGAACTCATCGTCCGTATATAAGCATAATGAATTGCAAGGAACAACACAAATAACATATACTGGTCAGCCTGAGCTGGCACTTTGTTTTGAGCATGAACTCGTCGTCCGTATATAAGCAAAATGAATTGCAAGGAACAACACAAATAACACATAATGATTAATGGTCAGCCTGAGCTGGCAGTGACAGGCGTGACCGTGCTGTGGGCGGTGTTGGCGGGGGTGCGACTCAGGCACGACGACCCCAAGCTTTATGAGCTCGTCCAGCTCCTCGACACCGCCTTCAGGACGAGCCAGGTCACTGGATTTTTTACATAATAAATTATTTATTTAATTGCACAATCCCATTCTTGTGCGGATGGCCTATCATTCGAATGGCAACGAAGGTTGTAAATTATAACGAGACAAGCACTTATAAATACAATAAGTTTCATTCCGTATTTTGGTTTGGTTCTTAACTTGATCTTTTCCACCATATGAGTTGGACACAGATATATCGTATTCAGTTTTATTTCTGCATTGGAAATTGTACAATAATGGTTGATTGACGAAATTCAATTGTTCAGACTGCATCGTTTTAAGCCAATTTCTTTTATCAATATTTTATCGATTAGCCGGCATGTCTAATAATTAATTTACCGTTAGAACTCTTTTGCTGAAACAAAAAGAAGATAAGAATGACAAGTTCGGTTACTCTTTAAATATGGATTCGATTTTAATAATTTCCTCTATTTGAAGATTGCTGGAGGTTTGCTCAACACCTTTCCCTTCCTACGTAAAATTTGTCCGGAATTTGTGGGCTATACGCCGCAACTGAAAGCGTTTACAGAAGTCAAGAACTATGTGGAGGTAACAGATAATACATTAGAACTTGGAATTCAATACTTGAATCGTCTAAAATTATTTTTTTTTATTCCTGAACATTTAATTACGTAAGTGTGTTTATATAATAGGTTCATGCACAGCTGTCTTCCTATGTTTGAGAAATTTGCATGTAATTTGAATAACGGCAATCACAACTATCTTCAAAGGAAAACTATTAAGATTACTTTTCGTCAAAATGTCATTTATTTTACATATGACTATTTTTGAAAAGTAAGTAATCTACAAACGCCCTCGCAGAAAGCTATTGAAGATCACAAAAAGGATCTCGATCAGAGTGACCTCAACAACTTCATCGACTTGTACCTCAACGAGCTCAAGAAAACTGACCTGCACTCCTCATTTTCAGGTTTGCATTTGTGGTTTCGAGTTAATTTTTCAGAGTCGACGTTTACAAGAAATATTTGAGATTTTAAAATATTAATTCATTAATTTTATACGACGTTCAGAACAAATATGAGTGAAAACTGAAGATGCGTCAAAGCTCGAGTTTATGCTAGCGAAAGCTCCCGCGAATTACTAGACAGAGAAAGAAGGAAGTCCAACCTTGTTTGGTTCGGCACTCCCGAAAGCACCGCATCTGAGACGAACGAACGTGTGATGGCCGACAATAAGTATGTGGCAGACTGTTGTAACGAAGCTCTAAGCACACCGGTTGATATTGCATCGTGCAAGAGGTTGCGCTTCAAGAATACTGCTAATAACGCCTGCAGACCTCTATTGGTGACTGTGAAGGATCCGGCCCAGGTTTGGAGCGTGCTGAAAGCAGCGAAAAAATTAGGAGAAACTGTTGAATTCAAGTCTGTTTTTGTGAAGAAGGATTCCACCCCTTTAATTTTAGTATTATCATAATTATTATATTTATTATTATGAAAAATTACATGGTTATACCGAAATTTCGCAACCAACCTATTAATGTGGTTAACTAATTCTCAAAATTTTATTGAGCCAGGCTTGTGAAGACATCGGCGTTCTTGACTGAAGTGATGCGGTTCCGCTGCGTGGCTCCAGTCACCGTGCCTCACACGTGCACAAATGACACCATATTGCAGGTAATCCACATAAACAGCTTATTTTACGACATCCGGGAGTTGCTAAGCGTTCATTTTTCTATTAACTTATATGTTATATTAACTTATATATATTAACTTATATATTAACTTATTAACTATGTTTTTACATTATAACTTGTACGCCTATTAAATTCCGACAGAGATTTTCCAGTATATATGTCATATTCCAACATATTTACGGGGAGTACTATTGCGGTGGCAAAAACACATTTATTAAATTTTTTCAATCCTGAAAAACATTTACGAAGACCGATAGAAAATTTTAATTGCAGAAAAACAGATAACAGCTGACTTGGAAATCATAAATTTAGAATTTGTTAGAAATACAGAGAACATCGTAACATGCAGCGCTACGAGCTAAGCCGTTATAACATGACTTTGAAACAATTGGACTATTCAGCTTTAAAATTAGGATCTTAATCATGCACACCTGAGAGGACTATGCACGCAGGGCCACCGTATCCCGAAGAACGCTACTCTGTTCGTCAACTTGCGCAGCATAATGATGGACGAGTCATGAACTCTTTTGCTGAAACCAAAAGAAGATGAGAATGACAACTTGACAAGTTCGGTTACGCTTTAAATATGGATTCGATTTTAATAATTCCCTCTATTTGAAGGCTGCTGGAGGTTTGCTGAACATCTTTCCCTTCCTACGTAAAATTTTTCCGGACTTTTTGGGCTATACGCCGCAATTGAAGGCGCTTACCGACGTAAAGAACTATGTGGAGGTAACACATTCTACATTAGAACTTGGAATTAATTCAATACTTAAAACGTCTAAAATAAATTGCTCATGCACTTTATTCATTAAAATTTAATTACGTAAGTGTGCTTCTTTCATAGGTTCATGCACAGTTGTCTTCCGATTTTCGGTAAATTTTAATGCAATTTGAACAACGGCAATCACAATTATCTTCAATGACAAACTATTAATAATACTTTTCGCCAAAATGTTACTTATTTTACGAATAACTAATTTTTAAATGTGACTAATATACAAACGCCCTCGCAGAAAGCCATTGAAGATCACAAAAAGGATCTCGATCAGAGTGACCTCAACAACTTCATCGACTTGTACCTCAACGAGCTCAAGAAAACTGACCTGCACTCCTCATTTTCAGGTTTGCATTTGTGGTTTCGAGTTTATTTTTCAGAGTCGAAGTTTACAAGAAATATTTGAGATTTTAAAATATTTATTCATTAAATGTGTTTGACGTTCAGAACAAATATGAGTGAAAACTGAAGATGTGTCAAAGCTCGAGTTTATGGGTGTGTTGTAAATTGTAATACATTCGTACACATATCGCAGTATAACAAGGCTCGATATTATTTTTAGTGCAAGCATTCGAACAATCTTGGAAATATTTCACTTTGATTCCGAACTAGAAATGATGTTATCCTCGATTTACTTCCCAATTAAACATTTATTATCATTTTATACATTTATCCTACGGCAGAGTCGCAGCTGACTGCCGTGTGTAACGACCTATTCACTGCTGGATCAGAAACAAGTTCATCGGTGGTAGGTTTCTGTGTTCTTTTCCTTTGCCTTCATCCTGACTGGCAGGCCGCGGTACAGAAGGAACTTGACCAGCACCTCAAAGATACTGGCCGAGATCTTCCCACCATCGAGGATAGGAACAAGTTGGTTGACATAACAATAATAATCCAATCTAAATATCCGATCTGGTAGTCGTTTATCGCAAAATTGGGAGTACTATAGTTATATAAAGTTATATGGGAGTACCCCAGAGTGCAGGACAATGTCTAAATGTGCTGAATTAAGCACGTTGAATAAAAATGAAATATTATTTACTCAGAAAAATTTTATAATGTATGTTAAGCGTCGTTTAATACTACATCATTATTATAATTTGGTGTTATTAACTAAAATATGTATATTTATTATTATTTTGGTCACTGTCGTTATTACTATTATTAATAATTATATTATTATTACTAATATTTTTAGTATTATCATAATTATTATATTTATTATTATGAAAAATTACATGGTTATACCGAAATTTTGCAACCAACCTATTAATGTGGTTAACTAATTCTCGAAATTTTATTGAGCCAGGCTTGTGAAGACATCGGCGTTCTTGACTGAAGTGATGCGGTTCCGCTGCGTGGCTCCAGTCACCGTCCCTCACACGTGCACAAATGACACCATATTGCAGGTAACCCACATGAACAGCTTATTTTACGACATCCGGGAGTTGCTAAACGTTCATTTTTCTATTAACCTATTGTTTTTACATTATAACTTGTACGCCTATTAAATTCCGACAGAGATTTTCCAGTATATATGTCATATTCCAACATATTAACGGGGAGTACTATTGCGGTGGCAAAAACACATTTATTAAATTTTTTCAATCCTGAAAAACATTTACGAAGACCGATAGAAAATTTTAATTGCAGAAAAACAGATAACAGCTGACTTGGAAATCATAAATTTAGAATTTGTTAGAAATACAGAGAACATCGTAACATGCAGCGCTACGAGCTAAGCCGTTATAACATGACTTTGAAACAATTGGACTATTCAGCTTTAAAATTAGGATCTTAATCATGCACACCTGAGAGGACTATGCACGCAGGGCCACCGTATCCCGAAGAACGCTACTCTGTTCGTCAACTTGCGCAGCATAATGATGGACGAGTCCTACTGGGGTGACCCCTTTGTTTTCAGACCTGACCGCTTTATTGCCGATGATGGAACNATCTTCGCTTTCTCATTCGTAGCATCTTTTACTACACCACACCGCGGTGGCAACATCCGAGGTCTGTTTGTGTTCTGTTGGAGATAGTTCGTGTATACCAATGGAGGCAATAAAGGGTGGCTTTAAGAAAAAAGTAAGTTTCAACTAATATCTAGGCGGATATAAATGAAAAGTGTCCTAAAACCTCTGAAACTATTTTTTAAACCCGGCCTTCATATTCGCTCAGTTATAACATCAGAGTGTTGAACAGTCTCGTTTTGTAAAAAAATTGTTTGTAGACTCGCTATACTGTAGGTAGGGCTACTAGGCTATTCTACGTAATTTCATGCATTTTCGTTTTGATTGATAATGAAAATTTCATATTTTCGTTTTGATTGATAATGAAAATTTCATACCTATTGCGGGAAGCTACTGTGAATTTCTTGATTACATTTCTCACCTATTCAAAATGTGTCCAATGGCAATGGCTTGGACAAATTTTATGTTGATATTTTAAAACCTTGAATCGCATTGGCTACCTATCAATAATATTATGAAGTACTGAGCCTACTGAGGGCCCGAGGGGTAAGATAGTGGAAGTGGGTGTTATGAATTCATGTTGGAAACTTGAATTGCTCATGTGCCTACTCATAAATTTTATATTAGTGAGTTGAATGTGTTAGTAGTGCAAGGAAATTAATTTCATTATCTGTGCATTTAAAACTTAGGCTAGCCTATGAATTTCAATATGTTATGTTAACTTGGGGGCTGAATCAGCTTCATGTCACTAGCCATCATAGTGATCATAGTGGCAAAGTAGAGAGTTTTTTAGACTCTCCCTCAAGTTCATTTTTGAGTCCTATAAGTAGACCAGTAAAGTGTCATGGATACCAGTATTATCATACATAAGAAATTGGTTCACATCTTGAGTAAATGAGGAAATTAAAAATGAACTGATTCTAAAAAATGTCTGGTTTGTCATAATGCTAGCCATAATGGACTATAAGTTTTGTGATTCTGTTGACCCATTTTTAGACTTTTGTAGACTGCAGATCATCTTGCCCAAACTGGAAAATCAGGCACTCTGTGCCATGCCGGAAGCCCTGTGGCAGCAGGCATGGAATATAGGGTAAACCTGAAAACTAACCAAATTCTGACACTTTTCAACTTTTTGCTTTAGTTTAAACTTTGTCTTGGTTTCACGCATTCGTAGATGATTGAAATAGTGATGTCATACTATTGTACGCAATATTACCGCAAAACACTAGGGCCTATTGGGGCCGTGGGAAAATTTTAAGATCCGCAGAGCAAAAGTCCACGTCACCCAGTGAGAACATTAGACATCAAAATTCAAAACACGTGTGAAAGTTGATAGGTAGTTAACCTTGCTCTATCAAATAGTGATAAACTGTTTGTGTAGAAAGGATATTATGGTTTGAGACTTTTAAATAAATCTGTGAATATAGGGTAAACGCGGTATATTCCGACATCGTAGGTAATTCCGTCACCTCTCTAGTTTTTCCTTTATATTAAGCTTTGTTTTAGTTCCATGCGTTCGTTGATGGTTGAAATGGTGACGTCATACATTTACGTGTCGAAATACTGCAAAAACACTAGGTCATGGCCATCTAG